ACTTTATTAATACATAACAAAAAGCTGAAATTCAAAGAGGAGTTTAATTTTTTCATCTGTAATAATTGCCGCAAGTAATGCATAGGAGAAACTTCAAGTGAAAAAAGAATATATGAACAGTAAACAACATACTCAGTTTGTCCATAAATTTGATTTTAATAAAAGGTTAATTTGGTGGATACCCATATTTAAGTAGACAGTCCATTCATCTATTAAAAGGTATATATGTTTAATTTTTTTCTACAGGCCTGTATATTCGAGAACTCTTATTCAAGGAAAATGCGCGCCCTCTGTCTGAATTCGAGGATACGTCCGCATTTGTCAGGAAAAATTGTCGTTAATTTATAATAAATGAATGTGTTGACCAGTTTTATCCATACACAGAGGTGTTTGAAGTGTTTAGTATGTGCTAAATCTACATCTTGAATTTTTATAATGGATCCAGGATATCTGTCGTCACTGCTTTCATTCCAATTTGAGATCATAGTTTGCGATTACAATTTTCATATTAGTCTATATCTCTGAGATAAGGTATTTTGATTACTTGTATTATTCACATTAATCGGACTGTTATCCACATCTTCATAGTCATATTCACAACGTTTCGGCCCCTATATCTCTGAGATGAGGTATTATGATCACCTGCGTTATTTACATTACTCATACTGTTATCATCCTCATTGCCATATTCAGAAGGTGTCGGTCGTTTTACGCTCCAGCCTTCTTCAGGTGATTAGAATTTCGAACCGAACCTTTTCTTTCGGAGTAGATAGTTCTAGTTCCACGTGCCGTGCCTCTTCCGGATGGCTCCCCATGTGTTGTAGCCAGGTACTGAACTCACAACTGTTTGGGTCTAGTCACTAGGTCAAGTCACTAATGTCATTGGGTCTAGTCATTCATGTATTTATCCACTGGGTCATGTTTTCCTTGGAACTATAACAATCTACAACGGTGGATGAAATAAAGGGTTCGATTCGAAATTCTAATCACCTGAAGAAGGCCGCAGAGTACAACGGCCGAAACCTTGTGAATATGGCAAAGATGAGGATAACAGTCTGAATAATGTTAATAATGTAAGTAATCATAATACCTCATCTCAGAGATATAGAGGCCGAAACGTTGTGAATATGACAATGAAGATGAGGATAACAGTCCGAATAATGTAAATAATGCAAGTAATCATAATACCTCATTTCAGAGATATAGAGACCGAAACGTTGTGAATATGGCAATGGGGATAACAGTCCGAATAATATAAATAATTCAAGTAATTATAATACCACATTTCAGAGATATAGAAACCGAAATATTGTGCACGTGACAATAACAAGATTAGAATAACAGTCCGAATAATGTAACTAATGCAACTAATCATAATACTTCATCTCAGAGATATAGGCAAATAATAAGTAGACCGTCTACTCAAATAAGAGTATCCACTAGAATAACCTTTAAAGTGATATATATATATATATATATATATATATATATATATATATATATATATATATATATATATATATATGTATATGTATATATGAATATATTAATATATAATAGAGTTAATAATATATGCAGCCTTATAGATGTAAATCTACACACACACACACACACGCACGCGCACATATGTTTATTTTTGTATGATATTTTCTATGCCAGTCATAACATTTCTTCCACTTGCCCAATATTCTATTCGTCACCCTGTGCTGACAGCGATGGACAACTGTCGACAATGTCATGCATTCGTTTTTCTTCCTTCCGTCCTTTTCGCCATCAGTCTCTATCTCCACCGGCGCATCCTCCATCTTTTCTTACAACGACTGCCGTTTCTCGCCCGCGTGATCTAGCAGTTGCAACAATAACAACGCGTTCTTTCAGATGTGCCGATTCCTCGGCTTTCGCTGCTGCGATCAAAATCGTGGTTAGTTTCACTTTCACTTTCGCTTTCACTTTCGCAATCTTTAATGTTTTCCGTCTTGGCTTGTCGCTTTTCTAAGCACTACTCGATTCTCCTGATACTGTTCTCTCACTTCCCTTGCTCTCTTTGTTCGCCACACCGATAAACACACACTCTCCCTCTCTCTCCCTTTTTCTCTTGCTCACTCTATTTCTCTTGGTTACTTTTTCTTTCTCTCGCATTTTTCTCGTCCTTTCATCTCTTTCCCTCTGTCTTACAATTTCTCCATTACTACTTGATAGCCTCTCTTTTTACCCTTTCATTGCATTCATTCTTTCTCTCTTTTCACTATCTTTCATTTTCTCTTCATTTCCCATTCTCTCTTATTCGCTTCTTCCTTTTTTTCTTTATTTCTTCATATAATTTCTCTCCTTCTTTTTTCTCAA